TTTTTGTGATTCTTTTTACAGTTCATCTTTAACCTTTGAGACTCCAGTGAAAAAAATGATGATGGGCTTCACTGAAGCTCTGCCTGTGCTCCAAAAATCAAGAAATAATCACTTTGCTCCCCAAATAAAATGGTCCTCGAGCTCCAGTGATGAGATGAGGGAAGATGAGGCTGTTCCAGTCAAACCAGTGCTGTCCAGGAGGTTGGATATTTCCCCTCTTCACGCAGCCAGTGTTCCCACAGCCACGCAGACAGAGTCCTCCAGGAGATCATCCCCCAAACCTGCTGCTCCTTACACACCCCTGGTGCCTGTGGTGTCATTTTATAGCAAGGAGAAGCGATACCTCACCCCTCTGGAGAGGAAAGAACTGAACCAGAACCACCCTTTGGGTGAGAGGAACAGGGGTGACCATCACCCAACTACCAGCAGGACTGAGAAAACAAACAGCAGCTTGAGCAGGAACACCAGTTCAAAGCCAACCAAGCACACAACCAACTCCAAACATCCTCAAAATCATCCTCAAAGTAAAAAAAACACCCCCAAAATAATGAAGAAAGCCAAGGGAGAGATCCCAGCAGGAAAACCCAACGTGGAGAAAGAGAATGTCAGTTACCTAATTAAAAAGAAGATGGATTCACCCTTCAGAGTCTTGAGCATGACAGTTAAACCAGCCTTGAAACTCCAGCTGGGAGCAGCTTTTTTTTCTGCCAGGAAGAAATCCCACTCTAAAAAACCACTTGTAGACACTAAATCTCTCCAGATTCTCCCTAAATCTCTGCAAGAAAACCATCAACCCCAACCACTGACATCTGCAAAGTCCGATTCAACCAAGAGAAACAAAACTCCTGAGGCAGGAGGTGTGTTGGGAAGAGTTTCTGCACCTCAGAAGGAGAAGGAGGAAGATGGAGGGGAGAGGGAGAACTTGACAAGCTGTGTAAATCAAGAGAGAGATTCGACCTGTGGAGGAGAAACATCTCCACAGAGAAGTGGAAGCACCTCAGATCCATCTCATACTTCCAACTCTGCAGCTGCAGGAGATGCTGATGTAGAGAACATGGTAGGTAAAGATGTCACCAGGACCTCTGGAGGTGTTCAGGTGACACAGCCAGAGCTTGCTGAGCAAGCTGGTGTTAACACACACCCCAGTTATTCAGATGTGGGGGGGTTATTTAGAAATAGGAGTGGATTTTGCCTAGGAAAGCTTGCACAGATCTATTCCTGCCTCATGAAGGCTTGAAACTATGGTCAACGTTCAGAAGGTTCTTGTCAGTGTCCCCATCTGTCCCCAGCAGGGAAATATTCCATTTATGATGGCTGGAAGGAAAGTTTTCTGCACCATGATTTTCCAAAAGACAATCTGTATTATTTTTGTGTGTGATAAAAGGCAAAGAGTGAGTTGAAAGAGGCTGAGAGAGTTGGGGCTGTTCAGCCTGAAGAAGAGAAGGCTCCAGGGAGACCTTCTAGTGGCCTCCCAGTACCTGAAGGGGCTCCAGGAAGGCTGGGGAGGGACTTTGGCCAAGGGCAGGGAGTGAGAGAACAAGGGGTGATGGCTGGAAAGTGTCAGAGGGGAGATGGAGCTGAGATGTGAGGAAGAAATTGTTTGGTGTGAGGGTGGTGAGCCAGTGTCCCAGGTTGGGCAGAGAAGCTGTGGCTGCTCCTCCCTGGAAGTGTTTGTGGCCAGGTTGGATGAGGCTTTGAGCATCCTGGTCTAGTGGAAGGTGTCCCTGCTGCTGGCAGGGGGGTTGGGACTGGATGAGTTTAAGGTCCCTTCCAACCCAAACCACTCTGGGATTCTCTGAAAGCTGAAAAATAACTTTTTAAATCTTTTTTTCCCCCCTTCCCTTGTGTTTTATTAAATGTAACAAATGCCAAGTCTGAGCTCACTGAGTTTTGTGCAAAGTCATGACCTGGATCCTGAGCCTTCTCCCTCAATAACTCCACCAAACACAACCTGCTCCAAGCTGGTGGAAGGAGACACTTCTCAGAAGTTCTTCTCCTGTGCTCCTCAGAGCCCATTTTGTTTCCCCCCAGCCACACCCTTCTCAGCCAGTGCAGAAATTACACCAAGAAGGCAAAATTGTTTCTCAAAGTCTCTTTATTTGGAGATTTCTCCTGGGTCCCAGGTCGTTCTTTGCTGGTACAGCCTGTGCTGTAAATCCAGCAGCTCTGGGAGGTTTTGGGTTGGGA